AAGGGAAGGGAAGGGAGGAGAGGAGAGGAGAGGAGAGGAGGTGTGAAACGTTGGCGCTTACATTTTCATGTCAGAATAACAGGAAGGTTGAGCAGGTGAAAAAGGTTAGAAAGCAGGAGGCAGAAGTGGACACATCGCTTTGCTGCATCTCCCTCTTGCGTGTGAGCAAAGAGAGCGCGGTGGGTCTCAGGGTGTCATGAGGACTGGGAAATGCTTGGAAAACCTCCAAGGTCTTTTCAAAAGAAGGTGTTGGGACAGTGCCAAGCACAGCGCTCTGTTCAGTGCTCGAGGTCCTGGGGGAAGAGCTGCTATGAGCCTTCTCCTTGCTGGGCGACTCAAACAGACTCTGTGCTCAAGTGTCCTGCGGCTCCCAGCATGATTGCTTAGGAAATAAATAAAAATCTGTATTTTCTGTGATGCTTAAAAACTTGCTGGTCAAAAGCACCAGCGCTGCTGGTGTGTCTCTCTTCTAGCGTTCAGGCAGAAGCCAGTCCCGGCTTAAGGTAAGGGCTCCTGCCTGAGGACTTGCCTCTGTTCCTGACCAGTCCTGCTCAGCCACCCGCTTCGGAGGGTGCAAAATCTCGCAGCATCCCGAAGGGCTGTCTTCTCTCGGGGGATATGGGAACTGCTTTCTCAGGTTCCTTGTTTCTGGTTCCTGGCCTCTGGCTCACCAGTTGTGCCTGTCAAGCAATACTGCATTGAGCTTAACCTTCCTGAACTCTTCGTAAACTGTCTGTCTTGCCGTCTTGTCCACCTACCTGCTGCGTTGCACAACAGCCCTATTTCCAGGCTGCCGAGATGCTGCGAATCTTGGTGTTAATGCTCCTTGGTTCCATTTTAAGAAATTACAGTCCCGTTGTGAAATGTGGGAAGCAACCCACACTGGAGAGCCGAGCGAATTTGCGCTTCCTCCTGTCGGGAAATGCAGTTTGGACGAGGTTTGAAGGTAGCGTGCATGAGAGATCTTTGTATGATCATGTCAGTAACAGGTACTAAATTTTCTCCTGAAAGGTGGACTGGTGCAATTACCAGTAAACTGAGGAGCTATAGAATGGGTGGGAAAAGTAACTCTTGCTGATGAAAGAAAGGAGGATGAGACAGGAGTTCCTGAACTAGATCTCCAGCTGGGGCCTTCTGCATGTCTGCTGCAACTCTGCCAGGGCTTTCTCCATTGGGGCTGGATGTGCCCAGCACGTGGCTCTCGAGATTGGCCTCGTCGTGAAGCAGGGCTGAGAGATGGAAATCTCGGCTTGAGTTTGAGTCACGGCCCCAGGCAGTTTGTCACAGTCCCTCCTCCTTCTCCGAAGGGGAGTCGGGGCTCAGGCTGCTTCCCATGGGAGCCCCGGCCATGCTGCTCTCTCCCGGGCGTTGTGCAAGCGTCGGGGTGCCCAGTCCACAGCGTTCTCCGGGTCCAGGCTGTGCCTCGCTCAGGTGCGTGGGTTGTGCCGGGGAGTTGTTATTGCCACAGCAATGATTTGGAGATAGTGGAAACCGAAGGCTTTTGCCACCCAAGAAGGGAGGGTGAAGAAATTGCTCACAGCAGGGTCCTTGGGGCAGCGTGGAGAAGTCTGTACTCATCCTCTTCTTATCCTCTGGATAAGAAGCTGTTTTTCTCCCATACAATGATGCTGTTGTCTTCCCAGGAGGAATTCCAGGATGTTTAAGCCCCCCATATCAGTGGTTTTTTTTCCTCCTGGCAAAATACAGGAAAGCAAGTATGTCCACCAGCGTGTGTAACAGAACTGCCTGTTTCATCCCCTGTGCAGGAGTCACTGAGGCATTGACTTTATTAGCACATTTAGATAAGAACTGATAAAAATTGGCTGTCGATCCACTTGGTTCTGTTTGCACCGTTCCTCCAAAGCTGTTTGCTCTGCAACATAATGTTTTACTCTCTCGAGGGAGTCAATCTGACAGCTGCCAAAGAACGAGGACAGCTTGTCTTCTTGGAAGGCCTCAAATCCTGCCTTGACCTCTTGTTTGGAGAGGAGGAGGAGCAGTCAGGACAGCCCAGTCCTCTCCAGTTTATAAGGTAAACCTGACCAGTTGGTGGTTCTGCTGGGGCTCAGCAGGGCCCCCCGCACAGAGCGTTTTCCCCCTCGTGTCTCCTGCCACTGCAGCCAACACCGAGAGCAGCAGTGAAGTCCACAGCTGAGACCCGGCTCCCTTCGGGCTTCTTTCTGGGGCCCGAGGACTCGGTAGCTGGACACCTAAGTGAAGGGAAATGCCAGTGCCGTGCACATTGCTGTGCTTGTCCTGCCCTGTCTCTTCCTGCTGCTCAGAGAGGGATTCTGTCCCCCTTCTCCAGCATTTCAGGGCAATTTCTGCCCTCGTCCTCATTGCCGAGCATGTTATAGGTCTAGAGAAAATTTATTTCAGCACTCAACATGTTTGTGTCAAATGAAACTCCATCCGAGCAGTTTTGTTCCTTTTTTAAATTATTCTGAGTTTTATTCTCATCCAAGAGAACAGTGCTGCTTTAACCATGCTGGCTTTCCTTTTTATTCCCACTTCACTTTCTCCATGTCCCTGACGATTCGATAGAAAAAAATCCACTGAGGGATGTTAAATTGGAAGATACCACCTCTGGATCAGGCAGCCTCTGAGCAAGGACGGCTGTGCACTTGCCCTGTTCCTGTATGCTCCCGGCTCCCTGCTGTTTCAGACTCGTGCTGGGCTAGATGGGCCTTTGGTGAGACCCTGGGCAGGCACTGAAACCCCGCAGACCCCTGCGCCGTGGGACCGTGCAGCCCCTCGGGTCTGAGGAGAAGGACCTGGGGGTACTGGTGGATGAAAAGCGGGACACGAGCCGGCAATGTGCGCTCGCAGCCCAGAAAACCAACCATATCCTGGGCTGCATCACCGGCAGCGTGGCCAGCAGGTGGAGGGAGGGGATTCTGCCCCTCTACTCCGCTCTGGGGAGACCCCACCTGGAGTCCAGCTCTGGGCTGTTGGAGCAGGTCCAGAAGACAGCCATGAAAATGATCAGGGGGATGGAACACCTCTGCTATGAAGAAAGGCTGAGAGAGTTGGGGTTATTCAGCCTGAAGAAGAGAAGGCTTCAGGGAGACCTTATGGCAGCCTTTCAATACTTAAAGGGGGCTTATAAGAAATACAGGGATGGACTTTTTAGTAGGGCCTGTAGCGACAGGACAACAGGTAATGGTTTTAAACTAAAAGAGGAGAGATTCAGACTAGATACAAGGAAGAAATTTTTTATGCTGAGGGTGGTGAGGCACTGGCACAGGTTGCCCAGAGAGGTGGTGGATGCCCCATCCCTGGAAACGTTCCAGGTCAGGTTGGACGGGGCTCTGAGCAACCTGATTTAGTGGAAGATGTCCCTGCTCAGAGCAGGGGGGTTGGACTAGATGACCTTGAAAGGTCCCTTCCCACCCAAATTATTCTATGATTCTATGATCCCTGGAGCAGGGCACAAGGGTTTCACTGCACACAGGCGAGCAAAGGAGCAGTGACTGTAGGGAAGTGTAGGACCTGGTGACTGTCACAGCAGTGGGGACAGCAGGGATGGCGCAGGCTGGCGTTCCCTGTGTTGAGTCAGTGGGCGAGGAGGGGGACGCACAACGTGTGTGTGGGCAAAGCCCCTTGAGACCTCCTCCTTCTCTTCCAGTGAGAGCGCTTCCAACCTCAAAGCCTTGTTTGACTTTGTCCGGACGTCCCTGACTCCCGCCGGCAGCGACTCCTGGAAGGGCCCTGTGCTGCTGGTGGACGACCTCAGCGTCTTGCTCAGCCTGGGCGCCACGCCGGTGGCGGTGCTGGACTTCATCCACTACTGCAGAGTCGCGGTGTGCTCCCAGCTGAAGGTACTGCTCCCTCCACGTGCAGCGTCCTGTACGCTATGTATACAAAAGAGCCTCTGGAGCAAAGCTCGGCTTTCTTTTCTTTTCTGTTTCCACCTGTGCATGATGAGGTTTTGGAAGGCTTTGGCTGTCCAAGAAATTCAAATCATTGCTCTAGGGCCACTCTCGGGGAGTTGTGTTTGTCCCTGGAGTACCTGTGTAGGGTCCTTTGCAACTGGTTTCCCAGGAGGTGCTGGAGAAGGGCTCAGCGACTCCTGGAAGGGCCCTGTGCTGCTGGTGGACGACCTCAGCGTCTTGCTCAGCCTGGGCGCCACGCCGGTGGCGGTGCTGGACTTCATCCACTACTGCAGAGTCGCGGTGTGCTCCCAGCTGAAGGTACTGCTCCCTCCACGTGCAGCGTCCTGTACGCTATGTATACAAAAGAGCCTCTGGAGCAAAGCTCGGCTTTCTTTTCTTTTCTGTTTCCACCTGTGCATGATGAGGTTTTGGAAGGCTTTGGCTGTCCAAGAAATTCAAATCATTGCTCTAGGGCCACTCTCGGGGAGTTGTGTTTGTCCCTGGAGTACCTGTGTAGGGTCCTTTGCAACTGGTTTCCCAGGAGGTGCTGCCAGAGAAGGGCTCTCTCTGTCCCTGACATGTGACCAGGGATTCGAGGTGTAAAATACTGTTTTTTAGAGCTCCTGCTTCTCCAGAGATCTCTACTCACACCCATGTTTGTGTGCGTGTGGGAGGGCAGGGAAGGGACCGGGTTATGAAGGTAGTGAGGAGCTGATGAGTCTCGCAGGGGACAGAGATGAAGGTCCACTTGGAGGGCATACGAGCCTCTGCTTCCACCAATCTTCAGTGTTGCTGTGTGTTGCACCGGCTGGTTTCTAAGGGCGTGTGACGATGCAGCACTTCTACAAAGATCTCCCCAGCGATGTGCTAACTTCTGGGAGCGTCGCAGCAAAAATTGTTAACAGGCGTATCCATCCTTTGCTATTTCCATTGCAGCGTCCCCTACCCTGGCCACTTCTCTCTCTGCTTGAGTGAGAAATAAAGTAGACGGTGTCAGGTTTTGTTATCCTGCACTTCATATGGTGCCAGGGTGTTGGTGCTGTAAATGCTGACAGGGGATGTTCTGCTTGCTGAGACTATTTACCTCCGAAACAGCTAAAAAAGATGATAAATCATGCTGACACGTTTCTATTTCTGTCTAAGATGTTCTGAAGCTTTAAAGTACATTTTAATTGATTGGGAATTTCATGTTATTTTAAGTCCTTGGTGACGTGCATGGGCTGAGGCAGAGATTCTTGGGATGTATTTTTAATAGAGCTGGTGTTGTGTTGGGAAGCTCTTTGCTTCTTGCGGGAGCTATGAAGGTTCGAGCATCACAGCTCTGGCTGCGGCCGTTTGGCCACATCTTTATTTAGCTGTTCTGAATTCATTCAGAGTTGCCATTTGTGTGGCCTGACAGACCGGTTTAACTAGACAGCTGTCTTGTAACAAAGGCTTGATGTATTTTTAGGCTGCATATTATGTATATGCGTGTGTGTATGTATATACAATATATATACAGGAAGCTGTTTCAGAGATGTGTGTATATATCTGCTGTTTATTTTCCCAGTGGACTTTAGCTCAGAACCAGCTGCCGTGCTGAGGGATGTCTAAGTAGCTTAGTTAGCAGGGCATTTGTGCGAGCTCCCGTTGCTATCTCCCCTTCCTCACCCTGAGCAGATTGGGAATCAGCCAGGGGCTCATCACTGCCTGGTGCTCTCGTTCCAGGGAAACATCGTGGTGCTGGTTCACAGCAACGAGGATTCAGAAGACGAGGAAAATGAACTGGTTGTGAACTCCCTGTGTCATCACAGCGACCTGATCCTGTGGGTGGAGGGGCTGGCGACCGGCTTCTGCAAGGATGTTCACGGGCAGGTAATGCATGGGAGAGCACGGAGAGGTGGCACGTGTTCATGTCACATACAGCGCTGCCTGCAGGCCCGAGCGTAGGCGAGACATGCTCCATCTGCCCCCCGGGAGATGGCCCAGGACTAGCCTGGTCTGCAGCATGGTTAAGGACTAACAAGCAGCCTTGCTGCGGTCACCAGGATCACCTGGAGCACCCGGGCTCTTACGGCTGTGACTCCGCTTCTGCGGGGCTATTCAGGGACATCCTGCCACCTGGGGACTCCCCCATCTCTGGAAGCTGGAAAGGGCTTATACAGCAGCTACAGCGCAGGCTGTCTCCCGCCCCAAGATGATGGCCAAGAAAAATACCTAGTTCCTGGGAAGCTTCCCCAAACTATCCTGTCGGTGGATCTCAGCCTGGGTTGTAGTCATCTCTTCTGGGCTGGGAGGGCAGCTGGGTCGCTGGGGCCTGGTTACTGGGTGGTCTCTCATCAGGGGCTGCCACCAAAGGGACTGCTTACAGGCAGCTGTGTGATGGGGTTTTTTTATCAGTCATCCCCCTTCCCTGCAGGCCCACAAGGGGCGTGGGGGGTGAGGATGGTGTGACTGGGGCAGCCAAAGGGATGATATTCCTGTTCCTTCCCCTCTGCAGATTAAAATAATTAGGAGAGTGTCCTTGGAGCTGACGGCAGAGCAGGATCACGTCCAGATCTACCAGTATAAGATCCAGGACAAGAACGTCACCTTTTTCGCTAGAGGGCTGTCAGCTGCAGTCCTGTGATGCTGCGATACCGCGCAGCGCTGCGAGAGCAACGCGGAGCAAGGCCGGGGAGGCTGGAACCTATAGACTGGACGTGCCACCAAACCAGCCTGGCTGCGTCACCAGCGCCTTCCAGGAGCGGTGCAGCAAACTGGCCCAGGAGGGAAGCTTAAACGCGGGTTGAACTGCATGCCAGCGAGGGGATTAGCCTGCCCAGAGCCTGCTGCATCCCTTTGTCCTCCCACCCCGTTCCCAACGTACGCAGGCCAAGAGGAAGAGCAAAAACTTGCAAGGACGGCCCTTGGAGCGTGTAAATACAAGCAGGGGGGATGCCCCGAGGGCTGGGCGTGCCTCACCTTTTCCGGTGTGTTACTGCATGGCAGTGCCAGGCGCTGCTGCGTGGAGGGATCACCCCACCCTCCCGCTGGTGTTTAAGGAGATGACACAGAGCGGGTGGAGGCAGGGATGGTCTGGGAGCATGTTGCAATTCTTACCTTTCTCCCAGCTCTGGCACAGAAGAGATTTGCTCAACTCCTGACTTCCACGGAATTAAAAAAATCTACAGCTACATGCGTAGCCCCTCACCTTGCTGCTGTAAGACCTAAAGGCTGCCTTGCTTGGTTGATCCCTTGCTTTGTTTTGTTACTTTCCCTCTTTCCCCCTGTGCCCCGTGTGTGTCTGTCTAGCGTGCGGCTTCCCAAGCTCATCCCTGGCTTTGGGTGACAGACAGACACTTGCACACGAGCCTCTGTCTCAGCCACTGCCTCCTGATCACAAATCATTACTAGGACTTCTATGACCTGCCTGTATTGAAGCATAATTGGGGGCTAATAATCACTAATTTTAATTAGATAAGGGTACAGTCATTAAGTAACCATGGATCTGTGTTTGGGAACCGCTCCCCACAGGCTCCTTTGGCAGAGGGAGAGAAATGGGCATCTCCGAGCCTGGGTGAGGAGGCGGTTTTTGGTTCCCCTTCCTCCCCACGGACGCGAGGGCAGTCCTGGGAGCAGGCCTCAGACCTGGCGGTCACCTGGTAGATGCTCTGGCTGTAGTGGGAGGTAAAAAACATCCCGCACGCCTGCGAGAGACAAGAGTGACCTGCAGGTCTTTTGCAGCTCCAGAGACAGGGTAACAACTCCGGCAGTGGGACGTGTTCCTGTTTTTTCCATGCAGAAGTGCGGCATGGCTCAGTGACCCGTCCTGCCGCCGGTTTGGGAACAGTCCCCTTTGGCTTCAGTTTGGGGAGTCCTGGCACACTTGGAGGCCGTGGCTGCTTAGCGATAGCAGCCCAGGGAGACTGGGCAGGCTCTGGGGATTGTGGCGAGCGCCGTGGAACTCAGGAGGGGGAACGAGGCCCGGCGTGTGCTATAGGATCACTCGACCCTGCTCTATCAGAACGTAACCCGTGGGTCTCTCCGTGCTGCCAAGGACAGCGCCGAGTTGTGCCTCCAGCCCAGCCTCGCTCGGCAACCTCCCAACTTCCAGGCTCAGGTAGTGCCTGCTGGGCCTGACCCCAAGACCCAGAGCGTCCCGGGCCCAAATTATCTTCGGTGGATGAGCCCCGAGCTGCCCGTGTGCCCAGCCCAGGCAGGCAGCCGAATCCTGAGTGTGGCGTGCCGGCCGTGCTTGGGGTGCCCAGCCCAGCCCAGTAGCCAGCTAGGAAGCAGCCGAGTCCAGAGCTTACTGTGCCCAAACCCCCGTCCAACCTCTGTGTGGAGGCAGAGCTGGGGACACCGTCATGGCTTGGGGTCCCGAGTGCCCCCGAGCTGTGCGCAGAGCCCGGGGCTCCTTGGGAAGGTTCCTGGTAGCTGATGGTGCCTGGCCCAGCTGTGGTACCGTTGCTGGTGGGTGCAAAGCACCGTACCCTGCCCTGCCAGAGGCAGGCTGGTGGCTCGGTCTCCTCCCATGGCACACGAACCCTCAGGCTGGTGCCTGCTGCGCCTTGCTGAGGTAAAATGCTTTTCTCGGCCACCAGCTGTGCGAGCGGCAGAGCCCGGCGCCGCTGCTGCCGTCCCAGCGTGGTGGCACCGGCTGGGAGGACAATGCCCAGTCACAATCTGCAAAGGGAGGACGAGACCACCAGTAGGTCTTAGGGAATGGAGCTGCTGGCACCGGTCGCTGCAGGCACTACGACTGCTTAAAATGCACCTGTAATGGGCATATAATGGTGTATAATTGAAGTAATACCTGTATGATTAGCTTCCCCTTGGGGAGATCCCAAAGCATCCCTGCTCCAAGGCTCTGCCTCCCTCCTCCGAGACTGGCAGGGTGACCATGCGACATTGCTGGTGGCTCTTGCCTGGTTCTGCACTCGCCCGATGCCTGCATCCAAGCAAGAAACCAGAGGCTGCCCTGGGCTCGGAGTCAGCGCGTCCCCAGGGCGTACGGGCTGGGCACCATGCAGGGAGCAGCACCCCGACCCCCGGTGTCCCCATGCAGGGGGACGTTTCCCCAGGATCCAAGGCCCTTCCGAACCAGCTGCTCTTACCTGCACTGTGCAACAGTACTGCCTGCACGCTGTTTCCCGACAGCAGCAGCTTCAGCCCGGTATTTCAGCATGCCCCGGCACCCACAGGCTTTTGTCGCACTGATAACCAGCAGCGATTGCAGCGGGGAGGCGGCGAGGGCTCGGGCAGGCAGCATCTGGGAGATGCCTCCTGGAGAAAGGGAGGTGAAACCTGTGGTGGCTCCTGGTTCACGGTGAGGACCAAGCCCAGCGTTTCCTCCATCCCTGCCTGACCTCCAGAGTTGGCATCTGCCATCAGGATGCGAACGCCGGAGGCCGATCTGGCAGCTCTGCTGAGCCAAGGCCACCCGGCGCGGCCACAACCAAACCGAGACCTTGCTCTGGAGCTGACGCTGCGGGAAAGCAGCGCAGAAAGTGGAGATTAGGAGGGGCGCGATTGATGGCAGAACAGGGCGGCCTTGTGCAGGGTTGGCCAACATCTGCGTGCTCGGGGCCGCCGCTACGTGCAGCTCTTTGCTTGCGAGCCAGAGCTTGTGCAACGCCGCGTCTTGACCGATAAAGCAGGTGGGACTTGGCCCGAGGTTCGCGCTCTCTCTGGTCTTCGTTCCCTCGGCCTCGGTGGGAGCAGCCCGGGGCCTTGGCCAGGCAGCCACCGGGGAAAGGCCCACCAAGGCTGGGACTGGTGGGACAGGGGTGCAGGTCCCCTGGGAGAGGGTCGGATGCGATGGTATCGGGCAGGGCTGCCAGCAGCGGGGACCGTCACAAAGCGTCAGAGCCTGACGGCTGCAAGAAAGGCCCTGCAAAAGGACGGTATTTCGGGTAAGACAGCCCGTAGCACCTCCAGTGCGCCCGCCGCCTGGCCAGGTGCACCACTACCTCAGAAACGAGGCTTAAGGGAAACTTTTTGTGCATCACATGGGGCGTCACCAAAACACGGAGTCCCGAGCACGCCGGGGGGCTGGCTGTGGAGATGCTCAGCCCCAGGAGATGAACGAGCAGGGGCTGCCTTCCCCCTGTCCTATTTCTGCTCCTTTCCTTTGCTCCTTCCCTGCTTCTCGCTCTGGTTTCCCAGCATGACCCTTTCTGACACCGGCTCTTTCCTCGCAGGGCTCCCCCGGGATTTCAGGTGGTGTTGTCAGCCGGGAGCTGTGCTGGGGGTGGTGACTGCCAAGACGGCAGCACCGGCACGGGGCCGGCTGGCTGTAGGGCGGTGGCAACTTGGCTGCCTTCCACCATTCCCCTCCGCCCCTGCCGGTACCGGAGCTGCTGCGTCCTTTGCTGCAGACCTCGGCCTGCCCACAGCTTCCTCTGGCACCAGGGGGAAAAGACGCGAATGACCTTGCTCCGGTGCAACGGGGTAAGCCCTGACCTCGCGGGTACCCTGTGCCCAGGCTGCGTGGCATCCCACACCCTTGCCAGGGCCGTGCTGGCGGGAACAGCACGGGCATTCCCGGGGGGAAAAGATCCCTTGGTCCCTGGGTATCACCTGCCCCTTCCCCTGGGCACTTCCCTACCCCTCGCCCTGCCGCTCCACAGGGCTCTCGCTCTCCTTCCAGGGGAGCAGCCCTCCCGACCCAGCCCAAGCCATGTGCCACCGTCCCCTCTGTGCCCCGGGCTCCCGGTGTCTGGCCCACTCCCGTTCCCCAGAGCTCTGGGTATCCGGTTCACCTCTATCCCCCGCGCTGAGCCCCAGGGCTCCCGCTGCAAGGTCCTCCCTCCAGATCCACTCTCTCCCCGGTGCCCCAGGGCTCCTGGTGCCCAATTCTCCCCTCTCCGCCCCCGCGTCCACCCTGTGCCGCAGGGCTCCCAGCGCCTGACCCCCTCGGCCCC